CCGCCGATGCCGCGAGTTTTTTCACAATTCGGTCAACTGTAAAAAGACGGGTAAAGTCCGCCGTGTGCCCCACAGCATGGTGAAAACGCAGACACAGTAATGTGCGCGAGAATTAGTTTTAATTGGTTAGAAGGCTTTTGATGTAAGTATTGCGCTTTATTTTCCCTCACCCTATTGCGCTCGGTCGCAGGATAGTGTCAGGAAGAGCGGAGGTAGGATCGGGCATATGCAGCTGTCGTGCCATGGCGCGGCGCGGGACCGCATCTAGGCGTTCCACCGGCTCCCTCTAGCCCAGGTGCGGCATTATTTATGGTAGTGCATACCGAATAACGTCAATGGCATTTGCAAAATGCATAGAACAAGTCAACGAAGTATTCATAACACCTCTAGACGCAAAATAATGTGGCCTTATATCTGGGGTCAAAATAGTGCATTTGCAGGTATATATTACTCACTTCTTATTTGTGAACGCAACCAGCGGGCATGCGTTCCCCAAAAGACATTTCACAGGACTTATTTGAACAGCAGTGAGTGGGTGGGGGGAAAACGTTTGATGACCTTGACAACAAGCAGTAAACAGGCCGCCGCTCATCACCTATCCAATATGCATCTCGGTGGAGTCAGAACGTCAGACTATTGGCTCAACCGCCACATATGGAAAACTCGTTTTATGGATGACCCGCCTAGACTGCAATATCCCGTGTGCTTTCTAGTCGTACAGCTGCGCATGACCCAGACTATGCCACCATTAACTATGATTAAGGATTCCCGACGGAATCTGAAACGTCAGGAGAATAAAACCCTTGTTCCAGTGATCGCATCTCCTTCTTTTTCTGAAGATATCGTTTATCCTATAGTTGATTGCATCTTTCTTGGGTAATTATGCCGCTTTTGTTTCCTCTATTTCCTTAACTATTGGTTTGAACTTCCCATCTTGGTCCCACGCAAAATGACATTATCTCGCTGCTCCTAAGCTTGAGACTTTGTCTATAAACATACTATTTATGCTTCTCTTATCTCCTACAATGATAGAACCGTTACAATTCTATAGTTATATTTGTTGAGCCAGGTTTAAGGACTACGCGTTAAAACGAGTTACCGATTAAGAACCAGACCAGCTTTACGCAACTGGTTACAGAGTACGCAATTCACCACAGCGCGCATAAATTGAACACCAAAGTCGAGCTGTAGCCTTAAATAAGTTTGCTAAACGTTCGTTTCCCTCCTGTTTAAGTGTTTTAATGGTTCAGTAAACACCTGCTTCACCATGTCATAAGCGCTGGTGTGTTGACACCGAGCATGCACGTACAGGGCTTCAGCGTCCTTATTCTCCCCTGAGGCTTTAACGCCGTGCAGAAGCCGATGTTTTCACAGGCCTTCACCACAAGGTCGTAGTCCGAATCAGGTCGCAGGTGTTCCAGCGTGCACTCCTGTCTGCTTGTACCAACGCACCGTTGCTGATCCAAGCTCTTGTCCACTGGTATTGCATACACCCAGACGTAACTTATTTTGGTGTCTCCATTCCGTAGCAGTTCCCAGTTGACCAACGCTGACGTCTGCGTGATGTCTGTCGTTTGATTAAGCTTCACACCTGGCAGGGATATGAAACAGACAGCATAGAAAGTGTTTTCTTGATTCAGCACGAAATGTATACAGTGTGGCGAGTAGCGCAGGCAAAACCAATATTAAATAGGGTTGTACGACTGATTACCGTGCAGTCTAATCTCAATTCGTTTCTGTCACTGCCGGATGCCGGCTTTGTAAGCAGCTTCTTTTTGACCGCTTATAGAAAGTGGATTCCTAAAAAATGGCTTCTCAAATAGGCTGCATTTTTATCATGGATTGCGACTGCCTTTCTCAATTCAAATATATGCTTTTTAGAAAATATGCACAAAAATATTGTTTTCTTGTACTCGTTTGGTAGAAACTAACACTTCCTTTAAAGTTGATACTCAAAGAAAGGGTAGCTTTCGGTGTTTGAAAAATTTCAAAATTATTCGGCAATATAAAGACCTTTTTTCAAACCAAAAGTTACCTTTTCTTTACGTATAGAGTTTAAGGAAGGCGTAATTTGGTACCCAAGAGGGTATATATTTGTGCACGTTTTGCATAAAGGCAGTCAAAGTCCATGACGAAAATGCATATTATTGAAGAGGCCATTTTTTCAGAATAAGCATTTTATAAACGGCCAAAAGGAAGCTCATAAAATGCCGACATGCTGGTGTGAGTGGAAATATTTGAGATTCGACTGCAACCCTATTTATGTTGGTTTGTAAGCGATTACCAGTCTTTCGCAAATTCGGCATTTCGTTTTCAGTACTGTATAAGAGAAAATCCGCAAAAATGAGCCAGCTGCCATAAGTTATCGAAAAAGGTATATTTGATAAGGAATGACACTACAGCATAGTCTTTCATGGACTGACCTCACGTAACAAAGTCTGCATAACCTATATTAAACAGTAGGGAGGAGGGGAGAGTTAGCAGATTTGGATAAGTCATCTGACCCAGTTATGAAATTGTCGGCGGCCTCGGTACCTACCGCGACAGTAAGCGAAGACTTAAGTGCAGTCAACGCTCTTCTTAACTGACCTACGAGGTTCCCTTCGTGGGTTTAATCAAACTTGAATCGATTTACCTGCCCAGCTTACTACAACATCTGAAATCTAACTCTTCTGACACAGTGATCTGACCGCCTAAATAGGCTTGCCTAAGCAATTTATCTAGATTTCACCAGGCAGGCGTATCTTGCAATGACTGCCACGGACCAAAGGCAACTGGTTTCTGACTGATGCTAAAGCAGGGCAGACATAGCAAAGAAAAACTCTTCCCAGCTCCAATTAAAAACTGATATCCACAAGTCAAATTACTGAGTTGGTTGAGTTGAAGTGAATGTTCGACAAGACTCAATTTGTCTTACTAAGTACTTTAGTTAGTAGCATAGCAGCTTCATTACGTACGCGTGTATTTATTTATTTATTTCAAACTGCATTTCCCTTAATATGTTTGAATTAGACCTACAAGTAGGAAATCTACCCTGAAGCTTGCAAATTCAATTTTCCGATCGTCCTTTGTACTTACCCTTGACGTTAAGGCACCAGGGAGGACAACGCTGGGTCTATAGAGAGGAGCTGGATAAGGTGTTTCTCAAACAGGAACAACGCACTTCCCTAGAATTTGTAGTTCACCAACAGAAAGGCCTTCACTGCATGGATAGAGCATGATGAATCAAAAGTAGCATCTACGCCGCCGACTAAAAACAGCATTTCAGATTCTTTATCATTGGAGTCTTGGTACGCGTCCTGATTGATGCGCGAAAATTTGTTTCAGTATGGGACAAAATTAACTTAACTAAACGTATTTCTTCTTCAGGGCCATAACATTGCAAACTAGAAAATTTGAACAGGTAAAAAAATCAATAATTTCTTCTTCGCACATTTCAAAAATTATTTAGAAATTGGCATAAAATAAATGTGAGTTACCTTCGAATCTCGTATTCAAAGTATCGTCACTGAGATAACTGCAGTCGTTGTTATAGCAAATGCTGTATTTATAGTAGTAAAAGCTAGCGGGAGAAATTCCATTAAATATATGGGAGAAGTTTCCCGGCTGGACAGGCATTTCGTAGACGTCCATGGGATTGTGTGTCGCGAAAATTCGCAGTGTTTCATCTTTGTGGTCTGCACTCGATAATTTTGACGTCCAGTAAGCGTACGCACTGCCGTTTTGCAGTTCAGTAATATATAAACCATTGGGGCCTAAAATCAAAAAGGTAAATGTCTGAATCCATAATTAATACACATCTGTTTAGAAGAAAGAGGAGCGTTCACCGGGAGAGGTTTATTATGAGCCTGACGTTTC